GAAATATATTCAAGTGTAAAACCATTGAAAAGTTCATGGTTAAATGTCAAATGATTCTGTATTTAAATCTCTCAGCTGCTGGTGGATTTCTTGTGATCTTGTGGCGCCTCCTGCTGGTTGGGGTCACTATCATTCACTTGAGTCGTTACTTTTTCAGTGTTTTGATTGTTTTCTCTTTTGATATTTGATGACGTACATTTGAATTTGTCGTCGGTTTGTTTAAATGACTTTCATTCATCTGTTTATGTTCTTCACGATTTATTGGTTTTTCCAACTGATCAATGAACGAACCGATGGATTCATTGATTGGATGATTGTTTCTTTGAGTGTTAAACCAGCTCTAATCTCATAATGTGTCAATAACATTAACATTTAAAAGCTTTTCATTTCTAAATACCACGTTTCTTCGTCTCGGCAGAATAAAGTTTCAAAGTTTTTGCAGCTTGGACTGAAATTGAAGAATAATTTGACTGTTTGTGTTGAATTTGATTATAAGTTGACAAAAACAGTAAAAACATTGAATCTGACACAATTTAAATTTAGATAAACAACTCTGAAGAAATAAAACTTGGTGATGAATTGACTCACTGATCACTCAATGAGGAGTTCTTCATCATGAACAGATGAAAGAGAAAGTTGAGCTTGACAGAAACCTGACGAACAAAGACAAGATCAGAGGATCAGCTCATCACAGCTGCTGCGGTGGACACGTGTGAAGTGCTGATTGGATCTGAATTGATTTGCAGTTTTGATCAGATCAACATCTGTGTGAAAGTCCGGGTCACATGACGTCATTGGTTTCATCGATCGTTCATTTGTTAAAGTTCAGAACAAAAGAAAGATTCAGGATCAGCAGAGTTTTAATGAATACAAACAAAGAACTGTCATTTGATACAGAAACTCTGAAAAAGAAACTTCAAAAGTTTTGTTTCAGGATAAAAATAAAAGTTTGAGATGTTTGAAATCAAATGTAAAGTTTAAACTAAAGCTGTAAATGTGTAAATATTAAGGTTCTGTGTTTTTGCAGGATACATTTTAACGTTTTTGTAACTTAAACTCAATAAATGTAAGATTAATGTGACTGTTAAGAGGAAAGAACCAGAAACGTTTCTTGGACATGTGTTCAATATTAGCTGCCAAATCCAGATTCATGTTAAAAATACAAAAATAAATGGATTTTTTTAGTAAGTAAACTGAGCCTTAGCTGGTTTTAAGTTCCTCTGCAAACGTTTAAGGTAATTTTCACCTGGTTCTTAATTAAAATTAAATTTTACATTCATTTGACGGAATAAAATTAAGGTTTTTGAATTAAATGTTGAAGTCAAAGTAAAAGCTGTGTGTGTTTAACATGTTTTAAAATGAAATTCAACTGGGTTTTAAAGGTACAATTTAAATATAAAGTATAAATGTATAAAGGGTCTTTTCTGGGGTAAAGAAAACTACAATTTATACAATTTAGATGAAATGAACTAGTGAAAACATCATGAGGATTATTCTACATTACATTTCTGCCAATAGATCCTTTCACCTGAATCTGACTCACTGGAGCTTTAACTTTAAGTCTTTGAAACTTTTGAGATTTAATATTAAAGGTCAAGTTAAATAAGAAAAACTTTACAATAGACACATCAGAGTGTCTCCATCAGATTTATTTGAATCAAACATGTGAAGAACATACACACACATGTTCAATCAAACATAAATACACGTGATCAGCTGATGAACCAAAAATCAATACATTTATATTTTCACACTGAAACAACACATTTCTTATTTTTTCATTTCTCGTATCCAAAAGTGACAAATGTTCACCTGATATAATGTAAATTATATCAACACATAATGTTTATTAAGTATATCCACTTTAACAGAGTATTACATAAATAAAGTGTTTAAAATATACAGATATGGTTTGTTTAATTGTATAAACTGTGTAAATGATTTACTAGATAAAGTCAAGCTCACTCAAAAATGAGGAAAGTTGTATTTCAAAATAAAATGTTCACGGTTGAAGGACACAATATTTCAAAGTTTCATGTTAACATCTTTATTTTGAAAGGTTGGACCGGAAGCTGTTGTGGCGCGTAAATGTTGTAAAAGGCGGAAAAGTTTGTTGACGACGGAGCCGCACCACAGGTTCGATTCTCTGTTAACCTGACAGACAACTAGTACCCGAGGTCACGCGGCTCAACCGGTCAGACCGGTTCACCTGGTAACCAACCCGTTGCTATGGTTACTGACCGAGGGGAGGGAGCTAACCGCTAACACTAGCGGCTAACGGTAAGTGTCTCCCCCTGCAGGTGAGCTCCGTCTCTGCGGCTGAGGAAGAACAACGTTCCCTCGTGGAGACTTTATATCTTTATACAAATATTTATCATCACAACTGATACTTGTACGTAAACATGATATTTGTATTTATGATTGATTGACACGACTGTGGTGTGATTGAATTTAATATCCACTAATATCGAGTTCTTACTTCCACAGGCAACGTTGACTTCACGAACTCATTCCTGTCACTTCACAGTATTTGGGACCTTTTTAATATTTCATTCTGGGTGATTGCTGTGTACAAGTACCACATGTATTCTGTTGTGTGCCATGTACCAGAGGAAGATAAACTCCAAACATTATTATTGATTCATCATATTTAGAATCGTTCTACACGTCTGAGAAACAAGAATTTGATCTGTCCGGGCAGTTTGCAGTTTGATTGTATTTCATATATTCTCTCCTGGTTTCACACGTATGGAACTAAATAAATATCACATTGTGGTTTTATAAACTTTAACTCTGATCGATTTAAGATTTAAGATTTAATATGAAGCTGTTTCAGTGACGGACGATAAACAGCTGGAAACTCAGATTCATGGACAAAAGAGTATTCGTCATTAAAAACAGGTGAAAGACTGTTTGTGCTTCTCATCTTCATGCTGATGTGAATTAACTGATCTCAGATTCTGAAGAGGATATTTAAACATGCCACATTCTGCCACTAGGGGTCTCTGTCGGCACGATAACAACTAGACTGAATAAGACAATCCACTTCCTCCAGAAGCTCAAATATCTCTGAGACGAAGGGAGCAGCGATGACTCATGAACTGAGGAGTTATTGTCGTGAGGAGACAAACCTGCTGGTTAGCAGACTTCCTGTCTGAGCCCCCCCCCCCCCCCCCCCCCCCCCCCCCCCCTCTAAGTTTGCAGATGATTCCATCCATTAAAAACACTGAATAAAACAGCTTCATGTTAAAAATCAGGACACAGGACGTCTCTGAGGACGTCTCTGAGGACGTCTCTGAGGAGAGGACGACGTCTCTGAGGAACAGATTCATTCATTTTTGTTTGTCACACTCGAGACGAACAGCTCAGGTGAGCGTGGGGGGGTGATTGACCTGAATAATAAATGATATGTTGACTCGGTCACAGGAAGACGTCTCAGTCTGAGCAGGATATGAAACGAACGTTTGACGTAAACGTGGCCCCTCAATGAACCTGCAGAGTCACTGCTCCGTCACATTCAGACCGGTTTTATACATTTCAACAGAAATCTGTCTCAACAGCTTCCTACAGATGTGGTGATTGATGATTGATTGATTATGATGTGGTGATTGATGATTGATTGATTATTGGAAGCAGATGTGATGATTGATGATTGGAAGCAGATGTGATGATTGATTATTGGAGGCAGATGTGATGATTGATTATTGGAGGCAGATGTGATGATTGATTATTGGAGGCAGATGTGATGATTGATTATTGATTGATTATGATGTGATGAGAGTCATTGATGCAGAATCACTGACTTCACGTCTTTAAGGTTTCAAATATTCGTGCTGTGATTTGGTGAAGCTGCAGAAACAAACTTTACAGCCAGATGTTCGTCACGTCCTGTTGAAGGAGCAGATGTTCTGCTGACCTCTGACCTGAGGTGTCGTCTCATCACACTGAACAAACACAGTGACGACAGAGCTGCTCTCATATAAACCCTCATGTCTGACTCTGCCTCAGTATCCAGAGGACGGTCTGACGTGTCCAACGTCCCTCAGCGTCCTCCACCCGGTCCGAGTCCACCAGCACTATGGTCAGTAGCAGGATGCTGCTGCTCAGCGCCTCCTGCTGGCTGCTGGTTTTTGTAGGGAGCTGTGAGGAGCTGAGAGAGGAGCGACCACATGAGGACGACGCCTCCAAGATGCAGGAGGAGAAAGAACTGGTGAGTTAGAACTTAATGTCTCACATTTATCCACTGTGCTGATCGTTATGGATTTTTTAAGGGACAGTACTGATATATGGAGTAAATCTGATTCAGATATATTTTGTATATGTGTGTATATATGTATACATGTATATTCTGTAAGAGCACCGATTATTGGCCAACTGATTTATTGGTTGGACTTAATTTCTCAGCACCAGAGTCATTAAAGAACATCTGTAGATATTTTTAGGAGCAGGCGAGAAGTCTGAATGAAGTCAGACTTAAATCTGTGGATCCCTTTGTTTTCAGAATCACATTTCAGTTTCATCCACAGATTGAAGCTCTGCAGGAGGTTCTGGAGAAGTTAAAGAGTAAACAGTTGCCGTTGACGGAGAAGAAACTCGGCTGGCTTCCTTCAGTGAGAACCTTTTGTTTCTAATACGACAACGTGAAGGAAATTAAAGGTTTAATTCACTCAAATTCAAACGTCGTCAGAAATGAAAACTATCATTAAAGAACAATTTCTTCAACAGGAACAAATTAAAATACAAATACATGGAAAGTTTCTACAGACATGATTTAGATGTCACTGTTAATACATATTGAGACTGACTGTGTGTGTGTGTGTGTCAGTGTGATGCAGGCGAGCAGTGTGCGCTGCGTAAAGGCTCGAGGATCGGGAAGCTGTGTGGATGTCCCAGAGGAACCGTCTGTAACTTCAATGTCTTCAAATGTCTGTAGAGTCGAAAGACAAACGTCCTTCAAAATAAAGGCAGGTTTTTAAAAACTCCACTCGTCTTTATGTGTAATAGTTGTTTTACTGTTGAAGTGTTCTGCTGCTGCAGCGACGGCACACACCCCTCGTCCTCATGTCCTGTTAGTGTCCTGTCAGCTGGTGGTGATATTAACCCTTTCAGTCCAAGGCCATCTAAAAGTCTCTTATACGTTTCTGATCTGGATGAACCACAGATCTGTTTGTAGCACATTTTGTAATATTGGAATAATTAACTGCAGTTAATTAAATCTGAGCAGTTTAAAGGGGAAACGAGAGACACAAAACTAATCTTTCATCGCTTAAGTTTTTATGTTTTCATTTAAAATCTTAATTGAAGTGTAACTGAAATGAACAATTTTCTTCTGAATGTGAAATAAGAGGATCAAACAAATCTCAGGAACTCTGACCTTTGACCTTTTGTCAAAGCAACACTTTACAGACACTGAACTCCACAGAGCCTCTGGATTCTGTCGAGGAGCTGCATGTGTATAGAATCATTTCAGAATAATCGTATCGAGGAAACTGCAACAAATAACAGAAACAGAAACAGATCCACCAAACTGCTCAGAGTTCTTCATGTTTAAAGTTTCTGCTGAACATTGGAGATAAACTCTGGTTGTTAAGAACTGATCTCAGTTCAGCTTCACTCTTCCACTGGAGCTGATGGAGACTCTCAGTCACTTGTTCTCTCAGGAGATGAACCCACTCAGCAGAGTGAGAGAACAGACTCAGGGAGCGAAGGAGGAAACGTTCTTCACTCATCAGACTCACTTTGATCAAACTGAGGTTTAAGGTAGAGAAGCTTAAATAAAGTTGATTTATATCAGATTCATGAAATGTAGCAAAGAAAACACACTTGACTTTAACAAACTCCTCAGATTTATTCATATCATTGACATCAATCCCCCAAACAAAGTAAATCCCAAACCAGCATCAGATAAAATAAAAAAGCTTCTAAAAGTCGAGTCATTCTTCAGCTGCAGTGACGAAGCTTCAAGCTGCAAGTTTTTCATTTGTTAAACATCATAAAAAGCACGGAAACAAAAGCAGATCTAAATTCCTTCACACTCATCGACCCTGTTCTCATCTGTATCAGCTGGTCATTGACGATCGATCGGTATCAGGAGAACTGAGGGACGTCAGCTTCCTGTCAGCTGTGAACCAGGTTTTAATGATCATTTAAAAATCAGGTTCTAGATTCACTTCATCTCAGATCGTCACGAGTTCCACACACGTCAAGTTTGATTCAGTTTACGTCAGGAAAAAGAACAACGCTCTTTAGCCGACTCATGCGTCATTCAACTGTTTAACCTCATGTTGACTCTGATCAATAATTATTGATTATTATCAAAAAGTCTATGCTGATCATGACACAGCTCTTCTTGACCTCTGACCCTTCACTCAGCCGCCAATCAAAATCTTCTGTTCCAAGTATCAACCCTCCAACAGCTTCGTAGAAAATTCTGAATGAAACCTGAAGTTAACCTGATAACCACAAATCCTGCTTCATACTTCAGGGCCCAGGAAACACTTGTCTAATGACCATTGGTCATGTGGTGTAAACAGGAAGAAGATTGTCTCCGCTGCAGCTGGTTGCTTAGTTACAGAAATAGAGGAACAGTGATGGTGAAAAGTCTTTTCTCTGATCGACGACGAGGTGGAACTGTTACTGACAGGAAGTGTTAACAACGCTTTGCCTTCACCGCTGTTAGTCGAGTCATGTGACTGATGAGAACCAACCAGGAAGAGAAGATGGGCGTCTCAGTTTAAGTGGCACTGACAGAGACAATATCGATGATATGTAAAACACTTCACCTGTAATGGTTTAATAACAACAAGCGTTAATTGCCGAAATGTAATAAAAAATGTACGACCCATAGTTTCCCTCCACAGGACCAGTTCCCCGAGGACGGAGACAAATCCTTACTGAGTGTTGTGAATGAAACTGGAGATTGACCATGAGGATCTGAAGTTGTCTGAAAACTGATGCAGAACTGAACAGACTAAAGCAGAAGAAGCCAGCAGGAAGTGGAAACCAGCAGCAGGAAGTGGAAACCAGCAGCAGGAAGTGGAAACCAGCAGCAGGAAGTGGAAACCAGCAGCAGGAAGTGGAAACCAGCAGCAGGACGTTGAAACCAGCAGCAGGAAGTGCAAACAGTGATCTCTGTGAAGCGTTGAGGAAACGAATTCATTAACGGTCAGTGAACGTCTCAGCTTTTCCACTTAAAGCAAAGTTTGTGTCCAATCATACAACAGCGTGATGGGAGCGTTTCCATAGCAATCTGTTTGTTGTGTAGACAGGAAGTTTGTACAGCAGTCATTAGGTTTGTCCAGGCTCCGCCCCCTTTTCCTGGACCACAGTACTCTCAGACTCAGACACGCAGAGCTCCTGAAAACACACACACACACACACACACACACACACACACACACACACACACACACACACACACACACACAGTTTAATACCACTCCGTTACAGTGAGTTTGTGTTTTAATGACGCGTCTGCATCGATCATCTGTGCCTTTGTTTACTGAACTAACTGAGTTTCCCAGAATGCATTGTGAGTCTGACAGATGTAGCTGAAGTGACCCTGGTCTTTAAACGCCTCAGATTTAACACGATGCGTTTGGGTGCAGCAGTTTGTTTGTGCTCTCTGGGATTCCTGTGGTTTTCATTTCATCTTGATGTGATTCAGATTCATGTGTGAGTGATTATCAGACCGTTGTGACACTCACAGGTCATCAGATGCAGAGCAACGGAGACGAGCAGCGTCAGCACCGGAATACCAGCGAGGGGTGGGGCAGCAGACCTCTTGTCAGTGGAGGCCTGGTTCTCCTTCGGTGTCGTCTGCTGAGGAGGCTGAGAGTCGACAGCTTTACACTTGTGACTGTGGAGAGATGGGGGGGGGGGTGAGTCTCCGTCCAATCACAGAGCTGCACATTTAAACTGCTGAGTCTCTCACTTTGAGTCTCAACAGACTTAAACCTGACTCTCCCTCTGTTCCATGATCAAACAGCGTGTGGCGCTGTCGCTTCACTCACAGCTGTTTCTGCAGGTACTGCTGGTTGGACTCGCAGGCTTTGGTCTGGATCTGAGCCGCCACCATCTGACTCTGAGCGGCTTCCTTCAGACTGAAGCATGACTCGGTCTGATGAGAGGCCTGAGTCAGGTTCTGCTGCAGGGCGTCGATGTGATCTGAAAAACACACAGAGGCCTCAACATCTGGACCCAGCTGCAGGTTACAGGTACTGAACATTGAACATCTGGACCCAGCTGCAGGTTACAGGTACTGAACATCTGGACCCAGCTACA